GTTCAGAAGCACGATGAAATCTTCACGACTAAACCATCCAGCTCAGAGAACAAAACTCCATATGAGCAAAATAGAGCTATTTAGAGGATTCACTGTTCATGCATGGTATTAGGAGAGGATTTGTAATATGTTATCTTTGTCATCTATGAATGTTGAAGATATGTTTTCATTAGTTTTGTGTTTCCAAGTAATTATTCGAATCAATCTAAATGGTCTGACTGAGTACAATTGTGATACAGGGGTGATAATATTCATTAAAATGAGGCTTATAGTTCAACAACATGTAGTTTAAAAATTAAGACATGCTACATTAAGTCTAGAAATGGTGCATGGTTGTTAATTAAAAATTGTAATACACCTAATGGAATCATTATTCATTATCATTATTCAAACAATATGCATGTCCTACTGTATATTTGATACTGAGTTACTGACAGCTTACACTGGTTTCCAGAATCCATTGTTCGTGGATATTTCGATTCGATACCAATAATATTTTCATCAGTATCTTTGAAATACTTGAATTAAAATATAAATAAGTTGATAAATTGACTGGCATCATGCCAAAAAATCATTTATGTGTATCATGGTTTCTAAGAATGTGAATAAGAATGGATTACAAGCTTAGTAGGTCATATCATTCTACAGTGTAATGAACCAGTTTAAGCAGATTTTGGACTGATATCATGAGTTGATTGGAAGAGTTCTCTTTTCTTATTTTGTGGCGCTATGGTTATATTCATTTTAATGAAATAATCATCTCTCCTTTGCAGGCTCTTTATCATTATGAATATCAGCCATTATCCGTCTATTAATGTGATGAGCAAATTGTGTTGATTTACATGATGTTCCAAATGGCTACATAATTGAATGCGACAGGTCAACTTTCGGAAAACTTGATTAGAATTTGTATTATTACTTTTAACTCAACAAGTGACAATAATGATAAGATTGCAATAACTAAAAAAACGTACATCAATATCCAAGGTAAATCTGTCCATGGATTCTGTGTATTTTGAACTGTCTCCCTACAAAAAATTCACTTTTATGGTTGATTGAACAACCTACAACACTGATAAGATTATGATGATCAAAAGTGTAATAGCTATTTCAATTCCAAGAATTAGAAAAACCTGAAATCAATAAACAACTAGAAATATTCATTACATCATACCCTTTTCGTATACTCTGATAGAGCAGAAATATTACTGCCGTTCAATACAGTTGTAACTTTACTACGGGAGTTGTACATCCATGAACTATTGTATAGATCAGCAAACATTTCTCCAACTGTATCTGGAAATAGGAAAAAATATGATGCCATTTTCAATTATTTCCAATTATATAAATATATGGAAATGAAGTGCAGTGAGAGCAGGAAGAAAGGACTGAATACAATTTGATACTTGGTCATTTCGTTCATCGTGTTGAAGTATGTCAATTTCGTGGAATAACTGAGTAATTAACTGACTGTCAAGTTAATAATTATCCATATATCATTAGACACTTTTTAGCCGATCATTATAGAGTAAGATGACATTGATTGAAACGTTTTCGGTTTTTGATGCACCTTCGCATTGCTGATGATCCATGATTTCCGCTTCATGAAAATATAAAAAATCATGGTTCATGGAATAGTTATAAGTTGATGAGATAGTCAGGAAGGGAATATTCACCTATGAAAATCCATCATTACTTACTTAACAAATTACAGAAATGGTGTTGTGAAACACAGTCCTAATGGTTTGTTTGTTATACCCAGTAAAATGGATTATTCAAACCGATAAATTGAAAATAATAAAAAGATCTTAGAATTATATTCAATAATGAGACTTTGAACTACAGTTTGGTTAATTTGACAAAACTAACCGTAGTTTTGGTGTGTGTGTGTATTTGTATATTTTTTGTGAATTGATGATAAACATAATTCTCAATGGTATCTCCAACAGACAAGATTCACTATGCAATCTGGTTAAACTAGTAATTAGAAGTACTATGAACTATTCAATTGATTGTAATAATAACAATGTGGATCATTTAATGAAGCTTTATAGATCATTCCATAGTTTATTTTGATAAGAGCATAGTATTCAGACATATTTCATGTTTTTATTGTAGATTTTACAAGTGAACCTATCATAAGGATTATGAGTTTGAATAGATTCAATTGTTACAACTCATTAGTTCTACATATCAAGGTATAATAATTCACTCGATTGGTTCCTTGTATGAATTGCACAACAACAATTGAGGTAAAGTAATATGAATTTAATACAATGCGTGGTTGATTATTACCAGCTTACAACCATATTTGTATTCAAGTGTCATATGGTGATATGATACAACATGAAGTAATCGACACTGATGACCAAGTGAATTCGAATAATATTGATTGTCAATCACAATTGCACATAGCAGTGAGTAAACAAGTCGAGATTTTAAAAAGATAGAATTTGAAAAAAATACAGGGGTTGAGATGGTATTTACATGATGTCCGGAAACTGAAAAGAATACAGTTTTCAGGCTGTTGTGGATCTATATCTAGAGTTGTATCCAAACAATACTAAATTATGCGTAGCTCCCAGGATTTATTTCTGGACCGTTATTATATATATATTCTTAGTGTGTAATTACTGAGTAAGTAAATTATGAATAATCACATTTCTCTAATTATCAGCTTTCATTTGACCGATTGACTGCTGAACGAGTTTTGTTACTCAAATCGAAGAATATGTTGCGTAATGTTTTGAATGTGCTAAAGTATTCAAAACCTCTTGAATGACAGAAATAGAACGTTGGAGAGCCACAACAAATCTATGAACAAGAGGGCATGTGGATTTTGTGGCTTCCACAAACAAGAAAGCAGTTAACAGTAATTGTTGATACCTTCTCTGAATGGCCAAAATTTCGCATTCGGAAGTCTGTTTGAGTGTTCGGATGTATTTGTATGAGAGAATGAATTTAAATTGACCTCTGGTGAAGTTTCCAAGTTTTTCATAGCCAATTCCGTTAGCCAAAACAAGACACTCCATATTATCCGCAGTCTAACGGGTTAGTTGAGAAGTTCGTGGACACATTTAAATGAGCACCGCCAAGAACTGAGGAGGAAGGAGACTTGAAGGAGGTCATTCAATGACTCCAATCGCAGTGATCATAAGGCGATACCACGCACGACGTTTTCAACAAAACTGGTCACTAATAGAACCACATTACTATTCTAATTGTAAAACGGTTTTCTTAAGCGATGAATAAACTTGACCTAAAGAAGCTACTATGAGTTATGAGATGGGTTATATAACTTTAATTGTGCGAGTCCATGGAATAAGAGAAGAAACGGAAAACATTTCTGTCAGGTTACAAAGAATCAAAAACAAAAATCTACGTTTTCTAATGTTTTCTTTACTTAAACAAAATGAAAAGCATAATTAAAAATAGTCAATAAAATACTACTGTTTAATGAATTTTGTTCTCCTTTCGAAGAAACGTAGATTTATAGTTTTAGAGTATGAGCTGAAATCCCATTAGTAAATTGCCGAGACTATAATTTACGGACGAGCCAATCAGAAGCGTTTGAGTGATTTCAAGGTTACGGAGCCAATTTCAGTAAGTGATGCTCACGTACGATAGGCTCACAAAAGATTTTAGAGAAGACGTGATAACTGAGTTGCTACAACAAATGGGACTACTAAGTTCTTTTGTTTGTAATTGTGGTAATCAAGTGACTTGTAGACTTTGTGCAGACTGCTGTGATGATGTTGTCTCTCAATGTATTATATGTTAGAGAAATAAGTCTGCTAGTATAGGGACATCTTTCGCTCGATCCAGATTGAGACTAGCGCGAATTATGATGATTGTTGCGAAATGTATAATAAATGCACCAGTAACAGTGGATGCAACATACACAGATGTTACTGAAGCTTTGGCTATTAAATGGTATGAGTGTTATAGAGATTTATTCGTAATCAAAATGACAAGCTTACATAGTCGGAGTGCACACAAACGATACTGAAGCTATGTGATCGTGATTGACAGTGTTTTTGAGACCTTATCATGGCTTCAGAAGTCTTCTATTATGGAGCTATATGGAAGAGTTCCTCTCCCTTATGCCTTACGATTTTAGAACATTGAACCTCATTCTAACTTTGACATGTTTTGAGAACGTGTAAAAGAAATGTGTCCACTTTATTATATTATTTCTTAAAATTTTGTCTGCAAAAGAGAACGGGAATCAGTGTTTCGATTTCATTAGATTCTACTAAATAGACCAGCTCTACAAAACTTTTGTCAGTGTTCACTCAAGTTACGTTTTTATAAATATTCGTATAAGAACATTCTAATTACCTGTGTGCAACCAATCAATCAGTTGAAAGTGTCGTCTTGAAAAGTAATTCATGATGTGCAGTTATGATGTTTGGTCTAATTCGAAGAAGTAGCTTCAATGAGGACATGTATCATACAACACATTACTATCGGTACACCGATAAATGAGAATAATACATTTTGACTAGTGAATTTTATTGTGTGAATACTGAATGGGTTTCGATACTTCTCTAACTTATTTTTTTTGAGAAATATGAACAACAGAAAAGACCGTTATATATCGATTCGAACTGAAAAGTTATCTGAATAACAGCCAATTGATTATATGATGTTAGTTATTGCAATAATCTTCTAAAGTAATTCGATCAAGCATTGATATGTTCGTCCATAAGTGTTTCTAGCGATAATTTGGTTGACTTAACTTTAGGTTACGAGGAATCATCAGCATCACGATACAATTTAACGTAAGCCGTGCACTTACAAATGACGGAATGTAGAACTAAATATATTGTTTCATACACTTGATCTTAGCATACTGAGATAGATCCTACAAGATGCTTCGTCATATAAATCTAGCGGATAATAAATATGCAGCAATTTATCTAATTATTAACAAAATCTTAAGTATTTTCATAGTTGAAATCATGAGTCGATTGAAGCTAGACCACCATGAAAAACCTGAAAGCACTGGACGGCCGTTTCGTATTATTGTGGGACAGCTCAGCAGTGCTTATCCACGATCCCGTACTCACGAGTTTCGAACCCATGACTTAACAGTGTACAGAAGATATTTAATTAAACAAAAGTTACATTTATTTGAAAAGATGTCTATATTTGGTGTAGATTATTTATAGTGGAACGTTACTCTCCAGTGTTTATGAATTAACGAATACTTTATAAAGTTCAAGTTGTTTGAAACTTTTTTTTTGACTACAGTATTGCACATTATGTAATTCTCGTTCTAATACAGTGTCTGATACAGTCTCCTGATCCATAAAATTTCAGAAGGACCAAGTATTTTCAGACGAACTAATTGACAAATATTGCTATACAGAGGATAATAGAAGATGACATACAATGAACTTTGCTATAGGAATACTATGAATCCAAAGTACGTTCAGACGATGTTTATTGGTCTATTACGAGTGCCTGATTCTAGTACATGATGTCTTAATTCAATGCATTTGTTAATAAACGTTAGTTTTTCAAATGGAATGATAAAGTAACAGTGTTGATATTTACTCTTTTTTATGTGACGTAAGTAAAAAATGAGTTGAAATAGAGCGGAAAGGTCTACATATTTATATCGCTATTTTGAATATCTTGTATGTAACTACTCTGTCACTTGTTTCATAACTGATGATGTTTGAAGTGAACATGTTTATGTTTTAACATATAGCTTGAATAAAGAAGAAACATAAGTTTAGTGATCATTATAATCTGTTGTCAATGTGAAAGATGGATTGGTAAATTCATAATAAAGTCACTAATGTGAATTTATGCTTCATCGAAATCATGAAGAGTACTCCGATGGCGTCGTTTCTTATAACACCAAATGATAACACAGAAGGTCTTATTCAACGACTCAATTTTGTAATCAGTACCAATGCCTTAACCTAAAAATATTTGGATAATAATCTAATTTTTTTTTTGTATTTCGTGAATTAAACGATAGAATCGCCCTAAAAACGTATTATTACTAAGTTGAAAACTATAGTTGATATAGTTAAGATCATGAGTGAATTGAAGCTTGACCACCATGGAAAACATGGAAGACCTGGATGGCCGTTTCATCCGATTGTGGGACTCCTCAGCAGTGCGCCTCCACAATACCGCCTCGCGAAATTCGAACGCAGGATTCATCAGTCTCGTGCCAGAGAACCTAAGCAATTGAACACTTAGTTGACATCCAGCGGTGTTATTGTCTAACCTCAACCAATCCACGGTGGTCTAGCTTCAATTGACTCATGATCTGAAGTATATAAAATTACTAAAATCTCCACAAAACCCCCTTGTGAAAACTATATTATTCTTTCGTTATTATTTAAATGTAAGACAGAATAAAAATGGGCAGAAGTCTGCAACGTTGTACATTTACGAATAAATTAGAATAAAGCTGCAATACATCTTAGCGAAAATTACTCAATTTGCACGTTCCTATATTTCAGTGGAATTGAGAAATATGAAAAACATTAAAAATATGATACACAGATTTTGTTGATCCTCTACTTCACTATATACAAATAGTGTGAAAAAAGCTGATATGGAGGTTATGATTTCACTGGCAATACTTACATTGTTGGAGTAAATGAAATCCAGACTAGGGCTTTTCTTGAAGTATCAGTTTACAAAATGCAATATACCAATTCGTTGAAATTAAACAGCACGTTTGAAATAATGCAACTAATTATTTATATATTTATTTGAGTGCACAAACATTGGTGCAAGAGGGCATCAAATAAACATGTGCCACATAAATCATTTGATTTGTGTGAGGGCTGGGATACTGCCCGGGTGCTCCAACCGAAACAGGTGGCTTTCTTAAGGGTTGACGCCTCGAGCCTTTGATCTAAAGGTCTGATCCACAATGCAGTGCAGCAATGTAAGGAGACGCAATCACATAGTAATGAGTTACCAAAAATTGGTTCATACGCCATTTGTTCCTTTAGACTCATGACAGGACATTCGTGGGCATAAATCTTATGTGAATGAATCAACTTTTGTAGTGAAAACTAATTGACAATAACATAACAGTTAAGAAATGGCTTCTTTGATACCATTTTAAGTCATAAACTGTTTGATAACTGTGATTTAAGTACATGACTTTGATTGATGTGAATTCTCAATTTTGAAGCACATTTGTTATTGTTACGGTTTCAAAGTCGATACTATCACTAAGTAGCTAATAGACTTTGTGATAAATATAATCAATCCTCTAATTATCATTTCCTTCTAATTAAAAACAGATTAAAGAGCAAAACTTTACAAAACGATATAAGTCATATATTCAGGGTATTGAGGGTTTTTCGATATCACTAATGCTGCCAAAAATAGTAGTATCGGAATGATATGTAATACGTTTCCTTTTTTCATTTTTAGTCACTAGGATATACCTTGGAGCAATATGTATATTGGATGAATTTCACCAACAAAAGTTCTCTGATTGTAATTTCTAGTATGTTTCAATTGACAGGTGAGAAAAGAAAATGTATCCAATACTTGGCATGGTTCCAAAGGTTTATTATAATAAAACTTAATATACAACAGAATTTGTAAAATACTGAAAAAATACTTTTGCTATGGTGATTAATTTTTGAACTAATAGCTAAGTCTTGTTAAGATATTAACAGTGATGTCAATCAGCACAACACAATCTATGTCAGTACTATGTGTTGACAGTTAACCACAAACTCATAATTAGCAATGACTATAGATAGACAATTGTCTATTCTTTATTAAAATGAGACTATGGTAGTTTTTTTTGTTAATTTATTTCGTAGACGTACATCACCGACAATTCACATCTACAGATATAAATAACTTCTAGACTGTGCAAACATTGTAAAAGGTTGACACTAAATGTTCAGTGTTCACCTAGAGGAGTCCACCTAGAGGAGTTGGAAAATCCTGATTCCAAACCGAAAGTGCACAAGGGCACCAGTATCCTGAGTGAACAAATGGAGTATGAACCACTTGTCGGTCACTTGCTACCATGGGACTACATCTCCTCACGGTGCTAAACTCCTTGTTGATCGGATCTTTGGGTGAGATGCTCGAGGTGTGGCCAACTAAGAAAACCACCAACTTCAGTTTGGGCACCCGGTCAGTATCACAGCTCTCACAAAAATCAAATGAGATTTGTGTGGCGCATTTATATCTGGTGCCTCTGTGTACCGATATTTATGTGTTTAAATAAAAATATAAAAGAAGCGATCATCAATAATCGAGATGCTTCACGGATTTTTTTTCAATAATTCGAAGATGAGTTAATTACTAACAAGTTCTTACTCGTTTTCAGAGCTACCATTTAGAAATACTCGTAATAAAAATAACACTTATGAATAAAGTATGAAAACTTTCTCATCATTATGTTGTGAAGAACTTCATTAGCTATAATACATTGTGTTTTATTAGACAAACGTATACTTACTATTCCTTCACCAATTCATCTTCACAAGATTGAAGGTTTCTTGTACAAATTAAATATTTTCCATTTTATTTTAACACTGAAATAGTTAATCATGACCTGAAGAACAACAGTCAAGATAAATGTCTCACATGTGCAGATATGCCAAAAATCTTTTGATCATTGAAATGATGAAATATGTTGCACAAGAATCGTCCACTATTTCGATCAAACAACATTTCCAAACTAATTAGCCACGTGAGTAATTTGATGTTTCTATTAGGGTTCCATATGCAATGAATTTTATATTCATATACACGGGTAAAACCGTCAGTAATTCGACAAATATATACCCTCTGAAACGTTATTTACTTTCAACCATGTCGATTTCTGCATCGGATATACAAAGATTTCATATTAAAATTTGGACTGATCGAATTCAATTAAAAATATCACATTTGATGATGAGACTTGCATAACAAAATATGTTAATATTAAAAACGCTTTAAAAAAAACATTCTTACTGTGAATGGTTTCTATGTCTGTGATTTTATTACCAATAGCGTATTTTACCTATTTTAGGGGACAACTGGCTGACAGATTGGTACGTTTGTATAGTAGAATTTCATTGTGTTGATTTAAACCATGTGATGCTTTTGTCCAAAAAACAACACTCCAATTTATAACTGAATAAATACTGGAACCCAATATTTTGTTACCATTGAAAAATATTCATTTTACTCATTCCCTTCTTAGTACATTTGAGAATGTATTTTAACCATTTTATTATTAAGCAACTTTTTGAAAGGATAGATGTCAATCAATCGACATCTTGTTTCACGAGATTCCGGTAACTTGAATTGACACTGAATATAAAATGGTTATTTGGAGATTTTATTCAGACTTAGTTTGGCAAACAAGTAACTTATTATGGAGAAAATTATATTTGTGAAATTATCAATGATTCAACTTACAATGAACTAAACATTTCACTGACTTAGGCTTTTGAAAGGGAAATGCTTAGGGAACAATAGTATCTATTATCCATGTACTAGACAAACCATCCAGACATATTCAGATGTTAAAAAAACACAATGTATAAACCTTGTATTCATTATATCCGATTGTTATGACACTTGAATATTTCCATTGAAAAACCTAAATCAGACTACTGAATGAAACGTTTTATTTATTTGAAGTTCATTCGTTGGGATTTTAAAAAGAAATATCATTTCCTCTTTAATGCCTTATATTAACTCAGAGCCCAACTACTGTGGAACTGTTAGTTGGAATTTAGTCGAACATTCATATACAAGTAATTGAATGTTTCGTTTGCATTTATTTTATTTTTTCTTCAGCACGATGCATCAATAGATATGGCAAAAGATGTACGTTCATTTCATACAATTAAACCTGTTTTTCATTGTTTTCAACAACATTTCATATCAATTTGTTAAGATAAATAACTTTTCATGTTGGAAAATGTTACTTCTGTTATATTGTGTTATTTACTGCAAACCCAAACGCAACACTTTCCACGGCCACGTTGCTGGTACACTTCATTTTTACTGAACAAATAATTTCTCGTCAGTATTCTATCCGACTGGTTGAGAAGAATTCTCTGTCTTGTCTAACATGTACACATTTAACTTTTGATTAGGCTGGTGAATCCTCTATTCAGCAGTATCATATTTTCAGCGAATTCCTTTTTACAAAATATTCGCAGAAATTTAATAATGATGGTTGAAAAACAAAATTTCCAGTGTAAGTTTCAATTGTAAAGAGTCATTAATGATTGCTAAAAGGATAAATAATAATTCAAATACAGGCAAACGGTAAACTGGGACTTGTCAATCTCTTATCAACGTTGTCAATAAAGTAAAGAGCAGAGCAGCCTTATAATTAGTGCCTCAAACAAAATGTAATATTCAAAAGTACAGTTTTAGTAGTGCTCCAAATTTGGTAAAATTCATCAACTCAAGAGATTCTAAAGTTCCTCTGGATTAGCTTTACCAGAATTTACATTTCTCATTGATTCTTATCAATGTCTGCATTTGTAATATTTATAACTTACTATTTCTATTACAGAAAGTCGATCCAAAAAAGGTAAATTGAATTTCAAGTTGTTTTGACATTTTGATAAGTTTCTCACAGACACCTTTACAATGATATATGAATACGTGCATGGAAAACAAGCTGTTACTTAAGTTTATTCTCCCACCTGTATTTGTTGTATTCTGTCACCAAATAAGTACATCGGCTCCTCTGAGGACATTATCGATGCTGTAAAAATCTACGCAAACCTGATATGCGATTGAATACTTTACAAATTTCAAAGATTTTTAATCGATACGAAATGAGCTTTATTAGTTTTAATCGTTAAATTCATTTTGTTAAATAGTTTCTACACTTTCATGAAAAGCATCTCATAAAGGTTTTTTACAACATTCTATTTATCACTAGATCGAGGTAAGTTGTTGGAATTTTAATGATTATTGAACCTATTCATGTTTTCACTTCTACAAACTAACAAAATGATCTCAGGTTTAGTTTGAGCAAATACAATGACTTTTAATCATGGTTGAATATTGAAACATTAACCACTGGTTTTAACATTGGAAAAGAACACATTGTATAATTCTCCCTAAGCATGTCCCCAAAACTCGCTTATTCCAATGGCCGAAATCTTAGTAATATATAGAGTGATAAACCAGTGTTAATCGATTAATTTCTGTGATAATATTTGAAAACCTCACCATGTGTTTGGTCGTTCCTTAACTCAAATAGATAGTTGTTTCTTCCTGAGGGTGATTTCCGAACAATTTCTGCGCAATCTACATATCCTTGATAGACAATTTAAATCATTCATTTTTCATTGTATTTAGGAATATGGAAGGCTTTGATCAAAAGTTTGTAAAGTAAAATATTTTGTAACAGAAACAGACTTCTTTTGTGTGATTATTCCCTTAAAGATGTCCAGACAAGTTGGCTGAACGAAACGTTGGAATTATTTAAATTTCACTCGCTGTGAATATTTCAAATATAATCTTTCTCATACAATGACTTCCCTATACTCGGCGCCCAATGTTTGTCAAGCTTTTGGTTCCAAGCTTGACGAATATTCGTATAAAACATAACATTTGTTATTCATTTAAACCTACGAATTTTGGTATCATTTCATGACTTCAGTGTCACGAAATTTCTGGCAAATAAAATTGTACGATGAAAATTTACTCAGCAATTTGATTGTTACCTCATAACATTATAAACTAGTATTTCTTGAGGGAGAAGTTTTGTTAGCCTTTTAGCCAAAATGAAGCTGATTAGAGCGGTGAACTGGGTTGTCAGTTAGCTACTGGAATAAATGATAGTAAACAACGTTTGAGGTTAAAGTTAATCCGATCTGTCAGATATTCGTTTGGTATTTGCATTCTGTAGAATGAGTGATAATAATGTAGTCTTTATGTTCTTGTTTTTAAGTTTTGGAAAAATTATGAATAACCGTTATTTAACATTCAACTAAAATTTTAGTTTGGTAAATGTTTAATTCATGTATCAACTGCTTTGTTAAACGTCCTGTACCTATTTCTGTTCCATGGAACACGATTGATGAATGAATAAATTATACGAGAAATATTTTGAGCTAAAGTCTTGAAGACCAGTCCGTTTACTTGATTACCTTCATGTAATTTAGAAATAAACTCAAATGGTAATGACACGTTTACAGAAACATGAAAAAACCTGACAAAACCTAAGGGATGATATTGAAGAAAATCGTATCTATCATATTGGAAGACTTGATTTTCAGGTAGAATAAATAAACGTGAATACGTCGTCGCGTAATCAGTTCAAATATAATTTCATTGTTTCAGAACTCAAATCGCTTTCAGATGCTATAACATTGACTAGGGTACTAGTCTTCACTTTCACGAAAAGTCTGAGTTGAATCTACTATTATCAGCTTTCGTGCAAACGCTAAGGCATAATGACTGGAATGACCTTGCGATCTCGTTTACGTGTATCCAATATAAACAGAGTTAACTGTTGAATTCCATGTGACATATTGATTTTATTTAAATTGAATGCTGAAATAAGTCATCATTTTGTTTGTACATTCACACGCAGAATGAGAATTCTATCATGCTCACATCAGCATCAAGTAAATTTTGTAAGCAGACTAGTCTATAAAGTGTGATATTACCACTGATGTAAAATATCAGTTTCATTAGATACTCATTTTTGAAAATGGAGTCTGGCAGTGTCAATTTTGTATTGAATTTCTTTCTCGACGACCACTATATTCCTTTCACGTTCTTGTTTGGAATAAATCTGCTAATCGAAGACGTAAATATTTGGATGATCAATGACTCAGTATATGTATCAAATTTGTGTTTGTTATATTGGTCATCTATGGTATTTTTAAAGAATTGTACCAGCGATTCTTTATTCGACGTCAGAAACGAGTGTAGCGTCTGTAAATAACGGTTGGTTGACTATAAGCGATTTGCTAGACTTCTTACCACCAGTTATCTAGTCATATCGGTGGTGAGATACACTATTCACTCTTGATCGTGGTCTCGCGATTCATGTCAATATTGATGTGAGCATTGAAGCAGGATATCTACATTAGTGATGGGAATCGATAGTTATGATATGTAATAGCTGAGTGATGAAAATAATCATTATCAAAAATGGTGAAATCACGAATATTTGATGATGAATACTCAATTACACTAAACTATCATCTACACCACAAACCCAACTTATTTAGAAAATTATCAAAACTAGGACAATGAATTTGTGTTGTGAACTAACAAACTCAATAATGTTCAGCAACAAACTAAATTGAAAATTTACTTAGTATTGTTTACTTGGATCTTCCCATTGATGTTTTCAGGACAGCAACCGGTCAGTCTCTCATCGGCATATGTGCATACTGTGCGTATTGCCTTGATATAGCCTAAATTCACAAGCATGGTAAGCAAAGATGGATAGAGGCTAGCAGTGGAATCCAGGATGCGCATTTCGTCCTATTTGGGACTCGTTAGATGGATGTACCTGCATTTCTGAGTTGATGTTCACTCTGGGAATCGAACCCAGTACCTTTCTATATATCACAGATTGATTTTCCAATCTCTGATAGACAATGAAATAATCACGAGATATAATTCTGTTCAACTTATATTTTATTATAGATGGAACAAAATTGGAATGTTTGGAAATGTCTGAATTGGAAATCTTACTGTGAATCCATATGAACGCGAACATGAATTATGTCGAAAAACGATCACATTCATCTTATAAACAATAAAACTTCAAAGAAGCATTGTTCTGAGTGACTTTTTGTATACTTTCAGCCAAATATAAATTATTTGACAAATTGGTGTAAAACAGAGCATACATTATTAATGCTGCTAACGTCCAATATGGAGAGAAGACACTCAGTGGATAATTTCCAACAGTAAATTGAGTGAAACAGATTGTTATCTGTGAGGAGAAATTCAAAATTTGTATGAGGCGATTAGATTTACTCGAATGCTGAATGTTCAATTACTCCACAAATTACATATACAATCATATCAACGCTGAAAGTAGTAAAAGTATTACATCCTGAAATGTGTCATTGAAACATTATTCTACTTACATATGCAACCAAATAAGTAATATTTTCAGTTTTGCAAGTAAATGAAAATATTCAATATTAGTTTCAGTTTACGTTTAAGAGAAACATGAGTATTATTTAGAAATCGAAGAAAGGGTGAGGCATGATATGAAAATAATGAATGTATCATTCACGTAAACCTCAACAAACTTCACTTATTATTTGCAGTCAGTGTCGAATTCTCTCATCAGTCCATATTATTGTATTATACAGTTGATCAATTACGATGACTTGTTATGTTATATATATATAAATATATAAAAGAATGTTACTCACAAGGAATAGTATTATATCAGCACCTACTTCGAGAGCGACCAGTGCAGCCTAAAATCCAATGATAAGTTAACATTTAGCAAACGGATATTAAGTATAAATTTATCAATGTCAAAATGTGACTGTGAAATGAATTGAACTACATATTTAGATACAACTCATCTTCTAAATTCTGTAATCTCGGACTTTCACTGTTTAAATGACGATCGATGCAAATTATGTATTGGAGAGAATACATTTCACTTTGCCTGTTCTAAATTGTTCTACATATTATCTTGTATATATAATTAAATGGTTTAGTAATGTTTAGGTTAATTACAATAACTTATAATTTATGGATGTAAGAAAGACCTTTATATGAATAAGGTTACTAAATTGTTCACAAGTATAATGCACAAACTGTTATAGTTACGATGGCCGATATTTTAGAAGTCTTATATGTAAATATATATGAATAAAGGATCGATTGAAGTTAAAAATCAACACCATTGGATGCCGCCTCAGTTGTCTAGTGGTCAAGCGATTACGCGCGAAACTGAACGTTCCTTGGTTCGAATCTCGCGAGACGGGATGGTGGATGCGCACTGCTGAGCTGTTCTACAAGAGGACGAAATGGCTTTCCAGTACTTCCGGCCTTTCCCTGGTTGTCTATCTTCAATTAATTCATGATCTCATCTATTAAAATAAATTGAGTACTATTGAGTATTATTGGTACTGAAATCTTTATAACACACACAGAACTATATTTGTAAAATATTTTATTTATTCTTCGAAATCAGTGCGCATATTAAGGATTAAGAGCAAATGAATTGAAATATGATTACCTAATCACTCATTCACATACCTGACGCTCTAAAACATAAAACACAGTTCCAGCTGCAACAAAAGCAATGGAAACAATCACAATATTTATTAGAATAAACAAGAAATGATCGGCTAATCGTGTTTTGACTGCGCCTCCAATGAATATGGAACAAATAAAAGATATCAAAGTGATTGCGATGGCAGCAATTTTCAAGTAGACGCATACTTTCCAAATCGAAATTCCAATCGCAAAACCGATCAATATCGACTGAAATGTGAAAAAATGAAATATAAATTAGATCAGTGATCAACGTCTAGTTAACCGCTTGCAGAGAGGTTTCTGTACTATACCCATCGTCATACATCATGTTTTTACTAGACTATAGTTAGAAAATGTTTACGAGAAAACTGATGTTTGTTTTCGATTCTCGAATGGACTGCTTTCAGTTTTATGCTATCACTTTCGTGAAAACAATAGTGACTTACTACTATACTGATAGAAGTGAATAATGAACATTACCTAATTAAAAAGTCGTTCCACAGAGGTGTGTTCTTTCCACCTGTACATACATTTCAACAATAATATTTAGGAAATGCATAATCTAAATTCATCGAGTTGTGACGAAGTAAGAACGATATCTATTGACGTGTATGTATATTATCATTGTATGGTATATCTTAATTGACTAAATCAAGTAATTTGGCTTGATATTTTTGTAGTGAGATAGATACGAACCTACAAATTAAACATGCATTCCGTTTACAACAAACTACACTAGGTAAGTTTATACAATGAATAAACTTGTAGGTCCAGGAGTAACGTCAGTCTTTCTTGTTGGTTGGGGAATTTTGATAAACAAGCATTATTCAATATTCCTAGAATGTGTTAAAGTACGACGGGAAATATATATGCAATTTTTCAGTTCTTACGTGAATAATCAGAAGACCAACACTGAGTGGATAATTATTCGTTATTGCTTTATCGAATATAATCAACATTCCTAACACAAAAGCAAAACATCTACAAAATAGATCAAAATGAATGAGAGTAATATTCAAATGTCATTGTCATAATTTAAACAAATATTCACACATCTTTAATAAAACCACTTATTTTGATATCCGTTTGTTCTCTGAGCTGGATGGTTTGGTCGTGTAGCTTCTACTCGACGTTTGTGCTGATGATGTCGTTCAGAAGCACGATGAAATCTTCACGACTAAACCATCCAGCTCAGAGAACAAAACTCCATATGAGCAAAATAGAGCTATTTAGAGGATTCACTGTTCATGCATGGTATTAGGAGAGGATTTGTAATATGTTATCTTTGTCATCTATGAATGTTGAAGATATGTTTTCATTAGTTTTGTGTTTCCAAGTAATTATTCGAATCAATCTAAATGGTCTGACTGAGTACAATTGTGATACAGGGGTGATAATATTCATTAAAATGAGGCTTATAGTTCAACAACATGTAGTTTAAAAATTAAGACATGCTACATTAAGTCTAGAAATGGTGCATGGTTGTTAATTAAAAATTGTAATACACCTAATGGAATCATTATTCATTATCATTATTCAAACAATATGCATGTCCTACTGTATATTTGATACTGAGTTACTGACAGCTTACACTGGTTTCCAGAATCCATTGTTCGTGGATATTTCGATTCGATACCAATAATATTTTCATCAGTATCTTTGAAATACTTGAATTAAAATATAAATAAGTTGATAAATTGACTGGCATCATGCCAAAAAATCATTTATGTGTATCATGGTTTCTAAGAATGTGAATAAGAATGGATTACAAGCTTAGTAGGTCATATCATTCTACGGTGTAACGAATCAGTTTAAGCAGATTTTGGATTGATATCATGAGTTGATTGGAAGAGTTCTCTTTTCTTATTTTGTGGCGCTATGGTTATATTCATTTTAATGAAATAATCATCTCTCCTTTGCAGGCTCTTTATCATTATGAATATCAGCCATTATCCGTCTATTAATGTGATGAGCAAATTGTGTTGATTTACATGATGTTCCAAATGGCTACATAATTGAATGCGACAGGTCAACTTTCGGAAAACTTGATTAGAATTTGTATTATTACTTTTAACTCAACAAGTGACAATAATGATAAGATTGCAATAACTAAAAAAACGTACATCAATATCCAAGGTAAATCTGTCCATGGATTCTGTGTATTTTGAACTGTCTCCCTACAAAAAATTCACTTTTATGGTTGATTGAACAACCTACAACACTGATAAGATTATGATGATCAAAAGTGTAATAGCTATTTCAATTCCAAGAATTAGAAAAACCTGAAATCAATAAACAACTAGAAATATTCATTACATCATACCCTTTTCGTATACTCTGATAGAGCAGAAATATTACTGCCGTTCAATACAGTTGTAACTTTACTACGGGAGTTGTACATCCATGAACTATTGTATAGATCAGCAAACATTTCTCCAACTGTATCTGGAAATAGGAAAAAATATGATGCCATTTTCAATTATTTCCAATTATATAAATATATGGAAATGAAGTGCAGTGAGAGCAGGAAGAAAGGACTGAATACAATTTGATACTTGGTCATTTCGTTCATCGTGTTGAAGTATGTCAATTTCGTGGAATAACTGAGTAATTAACTGACTGTCAAGTTAATAATTATCCATATATCATTAGACACTTTTTAGCCGATCATTATAGAGTAAGATGACATTGATTGAAACGTTTTCGGTTTTTGATGCACCTTCGCATTGCTGATGATCCATGATTTCCGCTTCATGAAAATATAAAAAATCATGGTTCATGGAATAGTTATAAGTTGATGAGATAGTCAGGAAGGGAATATTCACCTATGAAAATCCATCATTACTTACTTAACAAATTACAGAAATGGTGTTGTGAAACACAGTCCTAATGGTTTGTTTGTTATACCCAGTAAAATGGATTATTCAAACCGATAAATTGAAAATAATAAAAAGATCTTAGAATTATATTCAATAATGAGACTTTGAACTACAGTTTGGTTAATTTGACAAAACTAACCGTAGTTTTGGTGTGTGTGTGTATTTGTATATTTTTTGTGAATTGATGATAAACATAATTCTCAATGGTATCTCCAACAGACAAGATTCACTATGCAATCTGGTTAAACTAGTAATTAGAAGTACTATGAACTATTCAATTGATTGTAATAATAACAATGTGGATCATTTAATGAAGCTTTATAGATCATTCCATAGTTTATTTTGATAAGAGCATAGTATTCAGACATATTTCATGTTTTTATTGTAGATTTTACAAGTGAACCTATCATAAGGATTATGAGTTTGAATAGATTCAATTGTTACAACTCATTAGTTCTACATATCAAGGTATAATAATTCACTCGATTGGTTCCTTGTATGAATTGCACAACAACAATTGAGGTAAAGTAATATGAATTTAATACAATGCGTGGTTGATTATTACCAGCTTACAACCATAATTGTATTCAAGTGTCATATGGTGATATGATACAACATGAAGTAATCGACACTGATGACCAAGTGAATCATCAATTATAACCGCACATAGCAGTGAGTAAACAAGTCGAGATTTTAAAGAGATAGAATTTGAAAAAAATACAGGGGTTGAGATAGTATTTACATGATGTTCGGAAACTGAAAAGAATACAGTTTTTAGGCTGTTTTGGGTCTATATCTGGAGTTGTATCCAAACAATAATAAATTATGCGTAGCTCCCAGGATTTATTCCTGGAACGTTATTATATATATATATTCTTAGTGTGTAATTACTGAGTAAGTAAATTATAAATAATCACAATTCTCTAATTATATGCTTTCAATTGACCGATTGACTACTGATCATGTTTTGTTACTCAAATCGAAGAATATGTTGCGTAATGTTTTGAATGTGCTAAAGTATTCGAAACCTCTTGAATGACAGAAATAGAACGTTGGAGAGCCACAACAAATCTATGAACCTGAGGGCATGTGGATTTTGTGGCTTCCACAAACGAGAAAACAGTTAACAGTAATTGTTGATGCCTTCTCCGAATGACCAAAAGTGCACATTCGGAAGACTGTATCAACGAAAGCTACTTTAGAAAGGTTGAGACGGGTATTCAACGGTGTTTGGGTGTTCGGATATATTTGTATGAGAGAATGGATCTGAATTCACCTCTATGAAATGCCCAAGTTTTTCATCTCCAATTCCGTTAGCCAAATCAAGACACCCCATACTATCCGCAGTCTAACGGGTTAGTTGAGAAGTTCGTGGACACATTTAAATGAGCACTGCCTAGAACTGAGGAGGAAGGAGGCTTGAAGGAGGTCACTCAACGACTCCAATCGCAGTGACCATAAGGTGATACCACGCACGACGTTTTCAACAAAACTGGTCACTAATAGAACCACATTACTATTCTAATTGTAAAACGGTTTTCTTAAGCGATGAATAAACTTGACCTAAAGAAGCTACTATGAGTTATGAGATGGTTATATAACTTTAATTGTGCGAGTCCATGGAATAAGAGAAGAAACGGAAAACATTTCTGTCAGGTTACAAAGAATCAAAAACAAAAATCTACATTTTCTTTACAAAATGAACAGCATAATTCAAATTATTCAATAAAATACTACTGTTCAATGAATTTTGTTTTCCTTTCGAAGAAACGTAGATTTATAGTTTTAGAGTATGAGCTGAAATCCCATTAGTAAATTGCCGAGACTATAATTTACGGACGAGCCAATCAGAAGCGTTTGAGTGATTTCAAGGTAACGGAGCCCATTTCAGTACCTGATGATCACGTAGAGTAGGCTCACAAAAGATTTTAGAGAAGACGTGATAACTGAGTTGCTACAACAAATGGGACTACTAAGTTCTTTTATTTGTAATTGTGGTAATCAAGTGACTTGTAGACTTTGTGCAGACTGCTGTGATGATGTCGTCTTTCAATGTATTATATGTTAGAGGAAGAAGTCTGCTAGTATAGGGACATCTTTCGCTCGATCCAGATTGAGACTAGCGCGAATTATGATGATTGTTGCGAAATGTATAATAAAAGCACCAGTAACAGTGGATGCAACATTCACAGATGTTACTGAAGCTTTGGCTATTAAATGGTATGAGTGTTATAGAGATTTATGCGTAATCAAAATGACAAGCTTACATATTCGGAGTGCACACAGACAATACTGAAGCTATATGATCGGGACTGGAAGTGTTTTTGAGACCTTATCATGGCTTCAGAAGTCTTCTTATATGGAGCTATATGGAGGAGTTCCTCTCCCTTATGCCTTACGATTTTAGAACATTGAACCTCATTCTAACTTTGACATGTTTTGAGAACGTGTAAAAGAAATGTGTCCACTTTATTATATTATTTCTTAAAATTTTGCCTGCAAAAGAGAACGGGAATCAGTGTTTCGATTTCATTAGAATCTACTAAATGGACCCGCTTTACAAAGATCTTGTCAGTGTTCACTTCAGTTACGTTTTTATAAATATTCGTATAAGCACATTCTAATTAAGTGTGTATAACCAATCATTTAGTTGAAAGTGTCGTATTGAAAAGTAATTCATGATGTGCAGTTATGATGTTTGGGCTAATTCCAAGAAGAAGCTTCAATGAGGACATGTATCATACAACACACTACCCCGATAAATGAGAATAATACATTTTGACTAGTGAATTTTATTGTGTGAATACTGAATGGGTTTCGATACTTCTCTAACTTATTTTTTTTGAGAAATATGAACAACAGAAAAGACCGTTACATAGCTGGATGGCCGTTTCGTCCGATTGTGGGACTCCTCAGCAGTGCGCCTCCACAACCGCCTAGCGAAATTCGAACGCAGGATTCATCAGTCTCGTGCCAGAGAACTTAAGCAATAGAACACTTAGTTGGCATCCAGCGGTGTTATTGTCTAACCTCAACCAATCCACTGTGGTTTAGCTTCAATTCACTCATGATCTGAAGTATATAAAATTACTAAAATCTCCACAAAACCCCCTTGTGAAAACTATGTTATTTTTTCGTTATTATTTAAATGTAAGACAGAATAAAAATGGGCAGAAGTCTGCAACGTTGTACATTTACGAACAAATTAGAATGAAGCTGCAATATCTCTTAGCGAAAATTACTCAATTTGCACGTTCCTATATTTCAGTGGAATTGAGAAATATGAAAAACATTAAAAATATGATACACAGATTTTGTTGATCCTCTACTTCACTATATACAAATAGTGTGAAAAAAGCTGATATGGAGGTGGAGGTTATGATTTCACTGGCAATACTTACATTGTTGGAGTAAATGAAATCCAGACTAGGGCTTTTCTTGAAGTATCAGTTTACAAAATGCAACATACCAGTTCGTTGAAATTAAAAAGCACGTTTGAAATAATGCAACTAATTATTTATATATTTATTTGAGCGCACAAACATTGGTACAAGAGGGCGTCAAATAAACATGTGCCACATAAATCATTTGATTTGTGTGAGGGCTGTGATACAGCCCTGGTGCTCCAACCGAAACAGGTGGCTTTCTTAAGGGTTGACGCCTCAAGCTTTTGATCTAAAGGTCTGATCCACAAGGCCGTGCAGCAATATAAGGAGACGCAATCACATAGTAATGAGTTACCAAATATTGGTTCATACGCCATTTGTTCCTTTAGACTTATGTAGCCTATATGAAGCATTGGTTTGTAATCAGGGTTTTCCAAATTTCCTGGTTAGTATCTCTATATCTACATACCTGGTTAAAGTGCCATTCATTCGATTTCTATCCCCTTCATCTCGTACTCAACATCTCTGCCGCGAGAAGGTAACGAGTAGGACTTCCTGACAGTGGCGATATATGCGCGAACATGTGACAGCATTTGCAGAAGGATAGCTGATTCTTACCAGTCTGGGATGTAACAGGGCATTTGGAGGCATAAACTTTTGTAGTGAAAACTGGTTGATAATAACATAAGAGTTAAGAGATGGCTTCTTTGATACCATTTTAAGTCATAAACTGTTTGATAACTGTGATTTAAGTACATGACTTCGATTGATGTGAATTCTTAATTATGATGCACATTTGTTAATGTTATAGTTTCAAAGTCGATACTGTCACGAAGTAGATTATAGACTTTGTGATAAATATAATCAATTCAAGAGCAAAAAAATTACAAAACGATATAAGTCATATATTTAGATTATTGAGGGTTTTTCGATATCATTAATACTGCCAAAAATAGTAGTATCAGAATGATATGTAATATGTTTCTTTTTTTTTCATTTTTAGTCACTAGGATATAC